AGCAGTAACTTTGAGTTGCGGATATCTGTTCAAAGTAGCAAAGTGGCGGTTATTACAGAGACAGGAATTAGGAAGTGTCTAACTTACGAACACTTGCTCTATTTTTTGTGTCATTCTTCCTTAAATATAGATACACAATATTTGTATCCATACATAAATAGGTAGCAGAGTTACTAGTTCTCAAGGATTAATTTCTGCCAGCCTAGAATTTAGGAACTAAAGCACCTAGTTTTATTTTTTGGCATTAAAAATCCCTTATTAAGCATACAGCACATTAGTACCCTGACACAGATAGCAAGTCAAAGGCCCAAAGTGGGGTCAATGATTATGTAGAAGGAGCTGAGCCTCAGAGGGTTTGGTAATCCCCAGAAGGTGTCTGCAAAAACTGGATGTATATGTCTGGGTGTATCTATATGTTCATTCATCTGAACATTTCCATAGATCCATGAAACAAGACATAAGTATGACTCATAACTTTCATTACTATCAATATACTTTTAAGGAATATTACTGGAGGAAATATAAGACGAACCAAAAACGGGCTACCACCACACATGAGAATGTTGCATATAGAGTTCATGGTCACTTGCTGTCCCTTTCCTGGGTGGCAGTTTAAAAAACAAAACCAGTGGCCATAGATTGAGGGAGCAGGACTTGTAAAAAGTAGCTTGCCAAGTCCCCACATTTTCTGGTTAGGGACTGGTTGTGGATTTTTCAATTGGTGGGGATGGAGAGTGTGAGACTGCATTTTTCCTCTATCATAGGAGCAAAGCGAGGAGAGCTTGAGTGTCCTGGTTTTTTTCTTTTTTCTTTTCTTTTTTTTTTTAATTGGAGCAAAGCAAAGATTAACTTACAACTACTTTCTTTGCTCCTGTGCCTGGAGCTCTCTTAAGAGTCACTTTCTGGGAAATGCAGAGAAGACTCTCGGGATGCTGCAAGCATGATCCATGTGCCCGGACACTGGCTGGCTGGCGGGCTTCCAGCCAAGACAGAGTTGAGTCGCAGTAAGTTCTAGGGGGTACCTGTTGTGGTTTCCTGGAGGTGGAAGGAGCTGCTCTTCACAGCATTTCCTTCAGCTAGCGCCACGCTGCAAATTTCCAAGCCTGTGCCTCGCATTTCGCTGCATCAGCAATTCCAAATCTTTCTAAAAGCTTAGGCAAAGTCTCTTTGAGAGGCGATTTTTCTCTGGTCCCTCCACAGCTCACCCCCATATCAGACTTCGTGTCAGATCACAGGCTTCACTGCGGTTCCAGCGTTTTCCTCCACCTCCTCAGCTTCTGCTTAAGGTCCACCCGCGCGGTGCACACTAATTTTTGCAGTCGTACTGCCGGGTTGCGAAGTAAGAGCTTCTTTCAACCCAAATAACCTTTGCTGCACTCTACCACCCCATTTCAATCTTTTCCAACTCGTTCCCTCCTTGCCCTCTTGCTGAGTCTGTGTGGGCTGAGTTTCCCGCTGACTTGAAGGGAGTTTCCTCCCAGCGCCGCTGCGGACTGCGGAGCCGGCGCGCGCATCGCGCCCAAGGGCCCCTCCTCGGTAGGGGAGATCCAAGAAGAGGTGACTTTAAAGGTTCCCTGCTCTCCTGCGTGTTTCACACACATGCACCCATGTGCAAACATCTATATTTTATATGTTTTAAAGGGCTAAAGGAGTGATATGAGGGAGCCAAGTTAATGAAACGTGGTTGTCCACTAAACCCTTGCCTAAATCCCTCTGTATGACTGCTTGCTGTGTTCACGCAATTCTTAATTAACGAAAGGCTAGAGAAAAAAAAAATCAAACTCCGTGCAAAGGTGGCAGATTCCTCCCAGGGTTCAGGACTCCGCGAAGCAGTTTAAGAGAGTGGCTGGAGAAAGCCACAGGTTCCCTACATCGCTAAATCAAACCCTAGAAGCAGCAAGTGGTTTTCTCCTTTACAGCCCCTGGAGACAAAATGTAGAAAGGAAAAGGCTGCCTGCAGCTTGGTAAGCTCCCTCTCTGCCTTCCTCCGCTTCTCATCCTTTCAACAATTCTCCTCATCTTGCCCAGCTCCCCTAAGAGAGCAGGAAAATAGTTTTCCTGGCACACTCCACACCCGCAATCACACACACTTTTGCTCCATCCTGGCCAATGCCCCCACCTAGTGGTTTTGGCTGGCCTGCCTTGCTTCCTCTACTGTGATTTCTAAGAGAGTGCTGCAGTTTGGGGGGAAAAAAAATGAAGTCTACTTAGGCGCCTGATGTGGGTGGGTGGGATGGGAGGATGGGCAGGACACTTAATATGTGGTGCAAATGAGGCTTAAGGTTAGCAGGATCAATGCTGGGCACTAAGGACAGGAGGAGAGGAAAGAGAAGGTTTTGCTTTTATCCCCAGCATGGCTGCAGCAACCCTGACCACTTCCAGAGGATGTTTTTGGAGAGCTGCCACCTGAAGGAGTGCCCTCACTCTCAATGCAGGAATGGGCTATTTTCTGCATAAGATTTAATGCTAGCAGAACGTATGCTAATTATTTACTTGGTTATGTGGTCATTGTCGGTCCGCCTCTTCTAGAATGTAAGCTGCTTGAAAACTGGGTCTGGGTATACCCCATTATATTCCTGATGTCTAGAATTCCCAGCACAGAGTAAGCACTCTATTTTTGCCTGCCGGCCTGGTTTAGGGGGGAAGAAAATAAGAAAACTTGGGTTAGGGTTATGTCACCTTGGGTAAAAAGCTCTTCTCTCAAAGGATCTTAATTATTCTTCTAAACTAAATGGATGGGTGAGATAATCTCAGGCCCTAGACTGAATAATTCTCTTTAAAATATGCTTACACTTAACCTGATTAATTCATTTATGATGTAGCGTTCATTGACTGCATTATACCTGCCAAACGTTGAGCTAGATGCTTAGAAACTCCTAGTTGGGATCACTTAGCTCTGGGATTGCCCTTTCCTGATGCTTTTCTTTGAACTTTCTCCGACTTGTGCTTCTTCCCTACATTTGTTTCTCTTAAGGTTGGAGGAGGAAGTAAGCGCCAGGGATCTGCTCAGAGGTCAGGGGAACTGGGTGCCGCATAGGGCTGATACAGCCTGCTGTATTTGTTGACGCCAGCGAAGACACAGTAGTGGTGATAGTCCCAAAGCCCGTTTCTCTTTCTTTCTCTTCTTTTCTTTCTTTCTCTTTCTTTCTTTCTTTCTTTCTTTCTTTCTTTCTTTCTTTCTTTCTTTCTTTCTTTCTTTCTTTTCTTTCCTTCTTTTTCTTCCTTCCTTCCTTCCTTCCTTCCTGTTGTTGACCTCCTTTCCAGTTAGGCTGTGGGAGGGAAGGTGCTTACTGTGAACTGTTTTCCACCGGCACTGAACTGCTGAACAGCTGGAGAGGGAGGGTGGAATGGAAGGTTTAGTTTCACATACAGTAGGCTACGGTTTGTGATACTTTCACATTTTTGTAGATAGCTTTTTTTCTCCCCTGTTAGCCCACAGTTAAAGGGGAGGGATTGAACGGAAAGCACAGACTCCTAAAACCAGATGTGAAAAATTGGTTCGTACTGTACCAAGAGTTAAGTACGACTTGAAGCCCTAAGTTTAAAATGCACTATTGGCCATTTCCTTCTAAGGCGATATTACCGGTGCCCCCTTCTAACCTGGGTGTGGTCCTCAGGGCTGGATAAAATTCCTGAGTGGAGAGGTCAGCGCCTGGGGCTGGCTCCGCCTAGCTCTGGTCGGCTGGGGTGGGGGTGGTAAGTAGAAGCCCCGGGAAGGAACGCGGGGAGTGTGCATGTGCCCGCGGCCGAGGGCGTGGACCTAACTGGAGGGCCGCGCCGCCAGCTCCGAAGAGGACAGAGGCAAGGACGGGACGCCCTCATCCCCAATCCTGGCCAGAACTGCGGCGTCTGGGTGTCAGGACTGGGAGAGGGGCCAGGGGATGGGTACCGGGGAGAGAGGGCGGTAGGACCCGGCGGGAAGCTTCCTTGGCCAGGGAGGGAACCAGGCGGGAGGAAAGAGGGAGGGAGAGCGAAAAGGGGAAGGTGATGGGGAGCGGGCGTCCGCACTTGCTGAGCCGCACGAGTTGCACGGCTCAGGCAGACCGGACCTGGACTCTATAAAAGGAGCCCATCTGCTCTGCTGCTCACTCGCTCCTCCCGGGCTGGCGCACGCAGCGTTCTCCCGGCTCCCCAAGACACCTGCCCCTTACCCGCGTGCCGCGCCAGGTCCCCCAGACCCGTGCGCCCAGCAGCATGGCTCCAAGCGGTGCCTCTGGGACCGAGGTGGCGGCGGCGGTGGCGGCGCATAGCGAGCAGCCGCAGCCCCAACCCCTGAATCCCCCCTCTTGCGGCCCCGTCTCCGCGGGGCAGCTTGCCGGAGTGGCCAGCGCGTGAAAAGAAGGGAGGGCAGAGCCCCGGCGCAAGGCGCGGCGCAGCGCGGCTCCCAGACTTCACCCCACCCAGCTCTGGCGGCCGAAGCCTCCGCAGGAAACTGCCCCAGTCTGGGGAGGGGGGCGGGAATGCACGACCAGGACTCCTGGCTGGCCTGCAAGCTTTGGTCTCAACAGCTAGGAAACTCCTGCGGGCCGATTCTGCAGATCAAGAAGCGCCCGGGTTAGGAGACTCAGCCCCGAGCAATTGGGGTAAGAGACCCTACCTGGCTGATGCTCCCTCCTCAAACAATACATCGCCCTCCGGCACTAGACGCCTAGGTGGGATTCGGAGTGGCTAGACGCCTAGGTGGGATTCGGAGTGGCTAGACGCCTAGGTGGGATTCGGAGTGGCTAGACGCCTAGGTGGGATTCGGAGTGGAGCGGGGCTCGGTGGGCCAGTCCTTAGCAACCCAGGGCTACGACGGCGCGTGGAGAGGAGCAGGCAGGGACGCGGCTGCAGCGCCTGGCGCACTGGAAGTGCAGAGGACGCGCTCGCCTGCCTAGGCTGCCGCGCCCTTGACCTCTAGTTTCAGCAGGGAATCTGGGTGGAGGAATAATTGAGGAGCCCACGGAACTGACTTGCAACCGGGAGACAAGACTGTGGTCTCCGCGGTCCTTCCGCCCTTTCCCTCGTTTGCTCCATGCCCAAGAGCTGCCGGCGAGGAGAGACATGGAAGACACCGGCACTCAGTGCGCCCCGCCGCCGCCCGCGGGCTCCCAGACCGGGGTTTCTCAAGCCAATCTCTCTTCTGCTCCCCACAACTGCAGCACCGAGGGCTACATTTACCAGGACTCCATCGCCCTGCCCTGGAAAGTACTACTGGTCATGCTGCTGGCACTCATCACTTTGGCCACCACGCTCTCCAATGCTTTTGTGATCGCCACTGTGTACCGGACCCGGAAGCTGCATACCCCAGCCAACTACCTGATCGCCTCCCTGGCGGTCACCGACCTGCTCGTATCCATCCTGGTGATGCCCATCAGCACCATGTACACGGTTACCGGCCGCTGGACGCTGGGCCAGGTGGTCTGTGACTTCTGGCTGTCGTCGGACATCACCTGTTGCACCGCTTCCATCCTGCACCTCTGTGTCATCGCCCTGGACCGCTACTGGGCCATCACGGACGCCGTGGAGTACTCAGCTAAAAGGACTCCCAAGAGGGCCGCGGTCATGATCGCGCTGGTGTGGGTCTTCTCTATCTCCATCTCGCTGCCGCCCTTCTTCTGGCGTCAAGCCAAAGCCGAGGAGGAGGTGTCGGACTGCGTGGTGAACACCGACCACATCCTCTATACGGTTTACTCCACGGTGGGCGCTTTCTACTTTCCCACCCTGCTCCTCATCGCCCTCTACGGCCGCATCTATGTGGAAGCCCGCTCCCGGATTTTGAAACAGACGCCCAACAGGACCGGCAAGCGCCTGACCCGAGCCCAGCTGATAACCGATTCCCCCGGGTCCACGTCCTCGGTCACCTCTGTTAACTCGCGGGCTCCCGATGTGCCCAGCGAATCCGGGTCCCCTGTGTACGTGAACCAAGTCAAAGTGCGAGTCTCCGACGCCCTGCTAGAGAAGAAGAAACTCATGGCCGCTAGGGAGCGCAAAGCCACTAAGACCCTGGGGATCATTTTGGGAGCCTTTATTGTGTGTTGGCTGCCCTTCTTCATCATCTCCCTGGTGATGCCTATTTGCAAGGATGCTTGCTGGTTCCACCTGGCCATTTTTGACTTCTTCACGTGGCTGGGCTATCTCAACTCCCTTATCAACCCCATCATCTATACCATGTCCAATGAGGACTTCAAACAAGCATTCCATAAACTGATATGCTTTAAGTGCACAGGTTGAATTGTCAGTTGCAATGGGGTAGCCTGAGCGGCCTTTGGGGACCATGTTGGGTCTGGTTCCACAGGTAGGTCGACTCTTCTTTCACTGTTACTGGGTCGGATTGAGGCTCTGTCTTCCGGGCAAGGGCAATGGATCCTGAGAAGCCAGGACAGCCCTGAGAGAGAGCTCTGAGAGGAGAACTGTTCAAACTAAAGATAGAGCTTCCCTGCTAAGAGGCTCACTTCCTCCCCTCAAACTCCAGGTCCAGCACTGACCTTGCGGCAGCCAATCACAAGGGAGGGCTTTAACTTTAAAAATCAGTGGTGGAAGGGGGATCTCTGCCCTGCTTTGGTATCATGGATCATGCCCTCTAGAACCAGTGGTACTTGTAGTTGTCTGAAGCCTGTCTGAGACAGATCTACATACAGCCTGGCAGTACTTGAACTAGTACTAGTTTTGGGGAGAACTTTGTGTTACAGCTTCATTTAAGAAGAGTTACTTTGGCATCCTTCAGTCTCCAGTTTTTGTTTATTTAAACTTGGTTGGAGAAACTTGTGGATTTGGTGCTTCAAATCTTATGTGTGGCTTGGATGATGCAGAGAAACCTTGAAGAGTTAACAGCAAAATTCTGATGTTAAGATCTCTATTTTTATTATAGTTGAAACTATATGGGGTGGGTGGGTGGGGATGGGAGATGGGGAGCATTAAACTGAGAACCAACACCTATGACTGTTTATTTTCTGCAGATTTGTAATTTTTTTAAGTCCTAGTGATTGTCAAACCACATTCTAACAACTCAAACAAAACATTATGTGTGCTAGTGCCAAAGTCTGCAGATTGCTTTATTTTTCCTCCTAATTTCATGTACCTGTTATTTTAGACATTTAAATCCCCATAAATGAAGGATATGATGGGTGACTCAGCCCAAGCTGCTGCTGTATTTCTTATTAATGCAGTCGATTAAACTGATGAGTATATACTGTTCCTTAACAAGGAAAGTATCATTTTTTCTCCAATTCCGGGAGATGTAAAGGAGACTGATAAAATAGAAATGGTTCTTCTATAATTAAGGAATGGGGGGCAATAGGAGGATGTATATTTTGACTTGTAAAAAATCTTAAATGCATGAGACTTTTTTCTGATAGTCATTTACACTCCTTCCCATCTGTAATTCCTTTGTGTGCTAACATAAAGTAACCAAGAGAACCAGCTCCTTTTTCCAAAAATCTTCAAAGTGCAGTAGGAACCCAAAAAACTATATTAAAGAAAAAAAAAACTTATTTTCCCTTGCTATTGAAGTTTGGGTGGGAACAAAGATTATTAGAAAATGACATGCAAGGACTTTATAAAAGCTTAGAGAAGCTAAAAGTGAGCCTGTTTTTCCTGTAACTCATGGAACCAAACCTGACCTACTAGGCCATCAGGGAACTGACAAGCTTTTGAACCTGGGAAATTCATCACTGACCTGATACCTCAATGAATATAATATCAGTAATACTTTATATTTATCTGTCTTTTCAAATTTCAGTAATACTTAGTTGTTATCTCAAACTCACTCTGAGGACTCTCCAACACAGGGAAAGATGAACACAACAAAAGATGAAAAATACATTATCTAAATAAAAAGGAGTAGCCCTGAAGGATCATCTGCACAGGAAAAAAAAAAAAAAAATCTCTATGTGGAGCATTTAATAGGCCAAAGAAGATTTCCACACTGCATTCTTCAGAGAGCTTTCTGCTGTTTGATAGCTTTTGTCTGCAGGAGCAGGTTGTCTTTGTAAAATGGATTCCCTCCCTGCTTGAAGCTCCCCAGTGCAGCCTGTTGGACAATAGGTGTCTTGAGCTGAAGTAGCTGCTGGTTTCCTACTATGCAGACCTTCACTCTGGGCTAACGACTCTTGAAAATAGACTATTCAAAAGTTCACACATGCACAACGTAAAAAGGGGGATTTTGATCAACATTTACACCTGTCGCTGGAGTAAAATAAAATTTTAGGCATTGAACAATCCCTATATTTCTGTGATTTCCCAAGGGTTTTTGTTTGTTTGTTTTGTGACATTTCTCCTATGGAGAAATCTAGCTTAGTACTGATAGGAATGTGCATTCAGCACGGTATTTGCTTCTATGTTACCAATATGTTTGTCTTTTGTCTGTGCAGCTGTTTTCTTTGGGCCTAAGAAACAATTAAGCGAACTTCTAGGAGCCTGGGGGGGGGGTGAAATTAATTGAAATAAATAGCCACTTACAAATGACTTCTTTATAGGGCACCTACAATGATTGTGTCCTCATATTAACAAAACACCGTCAACTTAGTCACATGGGTTGCTTGCCATTTGTAGATTACCCACTTAACGGTTTTGCTTTATTATTTGGGTGAATTGACTGAATTTGGGGCATATTGTGTGAAGTAGAAGCTTGCAAACCCTTGTAGTTACAAGAGATCTTGAATCATCATCCAGCATTGCACATGATAATGCAAAGTGTGCTCATCCCAGGGGCATGTAGTTCAGACTGTTAAATTCCTTGTCAGTTACTGCTGCCTCTAGCATAGTTTGTTTCATAAACTAGACATATGGCTTTTTCCCAGAACATAAAATGGGAGATGGAAATGTATAACTTACATAGAAATGAAAATATATTTTCACTGGCTGTGGTAACAACTAACATTTGCCATATTGTTTAATTGCACAAAATTTCACACAAATACACAAATGTATACTCATTCAAAAAATACCAATATTGTCTTGTGTTTCTAGGAATTTTAGAGTTTCCTTTTTAAAAACAGACACGGCACCCATGAAGGAATGGTTATGGAGTTCAACAAATTTCCTACAAAGTAATATTCTTCACTTTTCCTCTCTATTATCTTAGGTTTTATCTTCTTTCACCAGGAAACCCTGAGAGGACTATAATTCACTCAAGCAGTAAAATCTCAGATTATGTGTATTTGACGGAGTCCTGTGACTGAAAATTGCCTTTGGTGTTCCACCTTTCAACAGATGTGTAATTGGAAATGACATTTAGGAAACTAATGAAATAAAGTCCTTTTCGTGTTCAAAAAAGAATGGGTGGTGATTCTATTAGTAGGGAAAGATCGGTTCTTTGGATTCTGGGCTGCATTTAGGACTTTGAACCTCCAAGAGAGAATAATTGAGGAGAAACGTGGCTGTGGTGGACTGCCCCAAGTACTGCCACAATGTGGGGGATTTCGTTTGTAGGAAGAATTTAAAAGGAATGAGGCAGATCATGCTCTCACATGCTGCAAAGAAGGTAAGTCGGATGCACCATCACAAGAGTTTTCCAGATCCCTACTTTCAGAGGGAACGTTTAGTCTCTAGGCTAGGTAGTGAGATTCCAAGGTACTGCATGGTGTTGGAAACACAGAAAAAGGAAACGGGGCAACAGGGTTAGAAGCAGGCTTGGGGAAACAGGAGAGGAGGAGACTGACCTATGGGAACAGCAGAGGAGTAGACAGAAAAACTGTTGGAATCAGGAAGTCCTCAGTTTGAATAGCAAATAGAGCACCTTAGAGCTGTGTGGCTCTTCTCAAAGGGAGCCTACTTGCAATTTGTTGCATGCACCTGTGCCTGGAAAGCACCTGTCAAAATACCTGACACTCAGCCCATGTACTTCCTCTTTAGCCATTATTTCTCCATCTCCTCCACTGTGAATGCACTGCACCTGTAGCTATTAGAGAGGTTGAACTGGGGAGGACCAAGCTAGCCTGAATGGGAGAAACCTGGCTAGACTAGAAGTGACGGAAGTTAGGAGTCTTTCACACTCACCCACTTAGGCCAGTGAGAAAATAGCCCAAAGGCCAAAAGTGAACATGAGGGTTGGTTTGCCGTGGCCTTAATGGCCAAAAAGGAAATTCCCAAATATTTCATTTCCTATAGCATCGTTTTAAACTCTTCTCCTTCTTCGTCTAGAGATTTTCCCCAGAATCCAGAGCCTCTCACCACATCTGCATCTTTCCTTAGTGTTTCATTTTCCACTTTTGTGCTTTTCTCTTACCCATGAAAAGCCATGATAACCAATGATAACGTGTTGATCTAATACGGTTATTTTAACTCCGGAGGGCTGATTTGGCAGCCCAGGCTTTTACATATATAAAAAAGGTGTTGATTCAAATTAATGTGTAATTACTGGGGGCAAAAGCTTTTAACTGGGGCAGCTCCTGGAGCTTTCGCGAGGGTAGAGGCTCGTAGGGGGAGTGAGTGGGTGGCAAGAGAAGCTTCTGCACCTTCATCAAAGTCCATCCTCGAACAGTCCACCAGGGGGCAGAGTGCCGCTGAGTTGTTTCCAGGATTCAGATGCTCACCATTGACCATCTCTAACTCCTTTCCGGATACTGCAAATGGTATTGACTTCTCTAGGCTAGGTGAAATGAAGATCCATGAGCCAAGGGAAAGGGGGCTTATCATTTATTTAAAATAGATTTTTTTACAACTGCAAATTCAGGCAGAGGATCCCTAAAACAAACCTAAAATTCTTCTTCATATATGCAAAATCAATTATTTTCTTACTCATCTCTAGTCCTGGGAAATGCTAAAATTTTAGTACTTAAAACATTGTGACCTTTGATTAACGTGGCAATGGGTTAATTCAGAGGTTAGAAGACAAAGAATTTATATTCAAATTAAAAAGAACTAATTACTTAGATCTTTCGCCACTATGATTTTTCTCATCACTGTATTTTTCTTTCCAAAATTTCATTGATTTGAGGTTGATACATCCATAGTTCAAAAGTGAAACATTTGTCGGTGGGGGGAGATGAACCATTAGAGACGATGGACTCTGAAAAACAAACTGAGGGTTCTAGAGGGGAGGGGGGTGGGGGGATGGGTTAGCCTGGTGATGGGAATGAAAAAGGCACATTCTGCGTGGAGCACTGGGTGTTATGCACAAACAATGAATCATGGAACACTGCATCAAAAACTAATGATGTAATGTATGGTGGTTAACATAACAATTAAATTATTTAAAAAAAAAGAAAAAAAAGTGAAACATTTGTCATTTACCATTTAAAGAGAGGGCTGTTTTTT